GGGGGGGGGGGGGGGGGGTTACTCTTATGTTTTGCATGCCTTAGCGGTTAGACCATTGACCACGCGTCCTCGAGAGGACGGAGCATTGTTCCCACAGGACCGATCACCGATGGCCAATCGTTCCTTCCTACTTTGCCAAAGGTGGCTCAAAAATGTCTTCCCTAGTCTGTCTATCCTAACGATATCCCTTCCCGCCTTTTCAAACCACTTCCTACTCCCCAGTACAGCTACCGTCCTCTCCTCTCTATTCCATGCATCAAACATCTCCCTGTACATCCCTTGCATTTTTCCCAGCTCAGTCATGTACACTTCCCTCTCCTCTTCGTACCACGGACATTCCACGACTACATGAACACGGTCTTCGCATTCGAAGCCGCAGTCACATTTGAACTTGTCGTCTTCGTCGTCTACCGTCCCATGTCTTCGTCGACGTTCTCGAAGGCCTATGTCCCCGGTCCTGAATTTGACCTTAAGCTTTGTCCCTGCATCCATTGGTCCATGTAGGTAATCCTTGAACCCTATTCCTTCTTTCAACATTCCGTACACTTCTAGACCCTCCTTATCCTTGGTTTCTTTCCTTGGATTCTGTTTTTCTCTCTCGGCACAAGCAACAGATATCTTCTCCTTGAACCCCTATAGACCCTACGTTTCCAGCGTTTCATCTTCGTCGATGTCTAACCCCTTCCATACGTCCTCTATAACCTTGACCTATTCTGTGGGTTGTCTACCCCTCTTTTTGTTTGCCCACTTCGCCTCCCATACTTTTCTCGGCAACCTCTCCTCTCTCATCCCGCACATGCGATACTGCCATGTCAGCTTCCTTGCGTCTCTTCCCGACCGTAGGGATTGGATCCCCAATTCTGCCCAGACGGCTGCATTCCTTGTGCGCTTGGAGCATCCCAGGATGATTTTCGCTGCTTTCATCTGCGCCGCCTCGAGTTCTTTCACTACCTTCTTATTTCCTTCCCATACTTGTCCGGCGTACTCCAGCGGCGGTACGATTACGCTCTTCAAAACCGTCAATTTGATGCGTGTATCGAGGTGCCGGTTTGCGAGTATTGGGTGCAGCTTCCCTGCTCGTGCTTTGCCGTTTTCCGTTACCTTGGACATGTGTGCATTCCACGAGCAGTCCTTTGCGATTTCTCATCCGAGGTATGTGTACTGGTCCACTACTGCAATCTCCTCGATCCCCCACTTCCATCTACGTTGTACTGGTTCCTCCTTGACCTCGTTGCATACCATGACGGCACTCTTCTTAACGTTGGCAGACAATCTCCATTTATCAGTAAACTTCTTCGCCGCGTCAATTTGTAGTTGCAGTCCCTCAGGGGTGTCCGACATACCAACAAAATCATCCGCAAACAGCATTCCTGACACCGAAGTTTCCGTGCCCCCTACTTTTACTCCCTTCCGGACTGCCTCTACGACTTCCAACAGATCGTTGATGAATACCTGGAACAATGTTGGGGACAGCGTGCAACCTTGTGGGACCCCCTGCTCAATGTCGAAGAATTTAGACAGTTCTCCGTCTAGCATGACCGCGCTTTTCGTACACGCTGTCATCTTCTTCAGCACTCTCCATATTTTCCCCTTGATCCCGTACTGGACAATTGTTTCCACAGCCCATTTCTCCATACGGTATCGATTGCCTTTTTCACGTCCAGGAAGAAGCAGTACGTCGGCTTTCCCGCCCTCTTTCTACCTTGGATGATTCTCCCTACCGTGAATGCGTGGTCTACGCACCCCCTCTTCTTTCGGAAACCTACCTGGCCCTCACAAATGCTACGTTCCTTCTCCAATACTCCCACTATCCTATCGTTCAGCAGCTTACAAAACACTTTTCCTACTGTGTTCAACAGCGTGATATCCCTGTAGTTTCCTGGGTCTGTCTCCTTTATCAAACAAGGCCACAACCACTCCTTCCCTTCATCTACTTGGCGCATACTCGTTATTCCACACCCAGTTGTACAGCAGTACCATCAACTGGATCATCCCCTTCCCCCCAAACTTCATGAACTCGTTGACTATCCCATCCGCCCCTGCTGCTTTGTGGCACTGCAGCTTGTTCACACACGCCTCAACCTCGTCCTCATTGAAATCCTTTTCTAGTTCTACGTTCCCAACGTCTGCCTTCGATGTCTCTTCTTCTTTCTGGGCCCATGCGTCCACCTCCTTCTTAAACACTTGGTCAAAAGCTTCATTCTCCGAAGGCACTCCAAGTCTCTTGTAGTGTCCTGCTAGAACTTCCCTTTTCCCCTTCCCACTGCTGACTAGTCCACCGTTCACACCTCGCAAAGTTGCTACCCCTGTATCCTCCTCTTGCGCGGTCTTTTTTACCATCCCACTTATCTCTTCCCACATCTGCTTGGCGTTCCCCTCCCAGGCCTCCGTTGGCCTTCTGCTCTACTTCGTCCCAAACGAACTTTTTCTTCTTTTTCACCAAATAGTCCCTTCACCTGTTTCCTCTTGGCCCTGTACTTTTCCCAACTCTCCTCAGACCCCTCACTCAGGTACTGCTTGAATACTTCTCTATGTTCCCCTATTTCTTCTTTCAGCTCGTCATCCCACCACTTAACCGATACCCCACGTCGTACCACCTTCTTTCCCACTAATCTCTCTGCCGTTGTGTTCACTATGGACTCCCATCCTTCAATCACCCTGTCCCCTGCTGCTTGTACGTCTACCTGTCCGCCTTCGACGCTGCTCAGCAGTTTCCTGAAGGGTTCTGCACTACCAGCCAGTCCCTTCTGGAACTCATCCTGGGTCCCCTCGTCTCCCAAACGCTCTACTTTCCACCGGAAAACTTTCCTCTGTTTCTTACTCTCCGTCTTTCTAGATCGGTCGATGTTTGCCCATATGAGGAAGTGGTCGGTCGAACCTCCATCTATCGCACTTACGTGCAGCTCTGGGATCTGTGTGATCCCCCTATCTACCAGGATGTAGTCGAGGATCGAGTATTCATTGCAAACTGCCCTTTGCCTGGTGAACTCCGGCTTATCACATTCCCTCCTAACGTTCAACACCATCAGCCCGTTGCTTCCCAAGAATTCAAGCATCCTCATTCCGCTGTCATTCACTTTGTCTTCTCCGTGCTGCCCGATCGCCTGTCCTCTACTGGAAGCTTTCCCTACTCTGGAGTTGAAATCGCCCACCATGACAACTTCTCCCTTCCTACTGACCCTCACGGGGGGGAGGGGGGCGGGGGGTAACGGGGTACGCACAACGCTCACGCTTGCGACTCCCAAATGGTCACAACGAACACAACCCTCCTCCCGAGTCGGCCCCCAAGTCAGCGTAGATATTATCTGTCCAGCTTTGAAACTTTCCCAGGGGTAGGAAGGCCACGTTCAACACACACTGACAACAGCCCGGGGCAGCAGACGGCGCGCGCTTGTTGCAAGATGTCCACCCCCGAGACCTGCCAGGTCAGCGCTGGCGAGGGTTACCAGGCGTCGGAGACGTCTCTCGATGGGACTCGAATAAAAACGTTTTCTCTTTCATTAAATTCATTTGCCCGCGCCCCATGCCTTTCGTCAGAGGCACTCTACCTCGGGCAGCCGCTGCTGCTCACAGCCGGCGGTGGGGTGAAAAATTCGATCTATTGTTCAGACCAATGTGGTGTGGATTGTTCCCTGCCCGAGGTTAACAACGAAATGAGCGAATGTAGGAGCCGAAGTACACAACGTTGTCCGCGCTGACACAAAATAAGTGTAACGGATTGATTTCGGCTTCTACTGCTGGTGAGTGTCTCAGCACGCCTAAGGGGATATGTAGACTGGAGCTCCAAGGCCTATTCTACATGCATCGTCTACAGCACCCGACGTCTGAGAGGCTCAAGGCACTGCTCCGGCTGCCGTTTGATAGATAGGAACAACACATTTCGACGTAGTTGGCTTGTGACCACGGAAGGGCGTTCGCGTCAGTTGCACCAGTACGGGCATTAGAAGATACTGAGCGGAGACCAATGTGAAGAACACAACACAAGACAACAACAACAACAACAACAACAATGTACGATGGTACACGGATATATTGTAAGGAAAACGTAAAGAAACGTATGCACAGCATCAGCCATCCCCCAGCGAAGCTACATACAACGGTCGGGTTCCTGCCTGTGGGCGCCGCCACGATCACAAGAAAAATCTAGGAAACTCCTAGGAGCGAACCAAGCACTCTGATGGCTGTACTGCCACACACGCGCTGGTATCCTCTTCTGCCAGCTGGGTTGAGAGCAGCAGCAACAACAGCGCGTGGTGCTGGTAAGGAGAGAAGTCAAGGCGCGGAATCTGGAAGACAGAGGATTGCTCTCCACTCACCACGGCCCTCCCCGCCGACGAATGTAGATACCCCGACCCGTCCCAGGGTGTCAACATGGATTGCCAGCAGACTTCCTTCTTCTTGTCGTCCCTCCGTGATCAGGGAGCTGGCAGGGATGGAAAGCGGGCGGGCGTGTGCGTATGCGAACCTTTTCCCTTGAGGTTTGCATCCACCGCTGCCACGCTCTTGTGTGTAGTGCAGTGAACCGGACCGTTCCACGCAAAGCAAAAGACAACACAACAACGCACAATGGACAGAAGACAACAAGACTGTGAGGGGGCACGCGGCCATAATAGCAGAGAGGAGCACGGGGGGGGGGGGGGCAGGGAGCTGGGAACAATTGTCGGGCCGTTTTTGGGGGGAGTTTTCCTACACATGCATGCCCCCACCCAGGCCATGGAAAAAAAGGCAGGCCCCCTGCGTGCAACGACTTTGGGCTTGGCAGCGGGGGCCCCCTGGAAAGGCCCTGCTGATGCCCCCGGCAACCCGGAGGTTTTCCATCTGGGAGGGAAACTCCCCCCGTTCCCGTATACCGTGGTGAGTATGTAAGCGTCCTCTTTCCTTCCTTTCGAACGAGAGCGTAGACAACAGCAGTATACACACCAACAAGCAGCACTTGAATTGGGTAGTGCAGCCAGAGGGGCCGACATGAGGCGTACCCGCTCCCGACAGGGGAGAAGTCATAGCTCCCAGGGAGAGTACAGGTACAGACAACGAATACGCCAAAGCCAGGAACCTGGAGCTAGCATGCGACCTCACATGATGCCGGAAGTAATTGGTTAACCCGCATGCATGGTACGGAGGCACAATGTGTGTGTTTTTATTATTAGCATCAACCGCTCACCGGCTGACCAATGAAAATACGTCAGTCTTAGTGCGGTCGAAAGCACAAGACACTTCTGTCCGCCGTGTGTGTGTGTGTGTGTGTGTGTGTTTCATTGCCGAGCGAGCGACCCGCAGCAGCGGCTCTGTTGCAGCTCTGCGATAAGGGCAGCGGCTCAACTTTGGTGTTTACGTGTAACCGCCGTACAAATGTAGACAGCAGTGTTGCCTTTGGGAGGGTATTCCCGCGATAGCGTTGGTGCAGCAAGTCGCACTACAATGAGCGTGATGTGACTGCCTGAACAAGCGACAGCAATCTGTTGTATTTGGTCTATTCTCCTGCGGAGGCAGTAGACCGCTTTTTAAAGCTCGATTGCTCCACAGCCAAGCCATGAAATGAAAATGGTGCCAACCCCAACGATGTTGGTTTTGGAAACTTATCGTCGAGGGCTTCCGTGCACGTACCGGGTCCTTTCCCCGCCCCCTTGGTTGTCAAGCATTCGAGCTTTGAAAGTCGGTCTACCGACTCTTGCGGAATACCACGGTACGGTATGCGGTATGGTACAGACAATCTTGGTTGTCGAGCAATCGAGCCGGGGTCAAGGGGGGGGGGTCCATCTTCCCGCTGCCTCTTTCGGGAGTGTTCATATTCGTTGGTTGCGACGTTGCGACTGGTGCTTGTTTCGGAGACGGCAAACCGCACGGACGGGCCATTCTCGAGACGAAAACAACAAAGCACTTCAACCCGTTCCCTTCGACTGCTGTGGTTATATCTAGAACGCGGGCATTCTGTCTTTGATTGTTTTTTTGCTAAGGCTGAGTCTTACGGCGTGATTATTTCGGAGATTTTTTTTGCTCGGTCGGGGGGGGGTGGCCTGCACGGAAAAAAATATCAAGATCCAAACGACCGTCTTAGGCCGTATTACGTCGTGATTATTTCGGAGATTTTTTTTTTGCTCTCGGTCGAGGGGGGGTGGTCTGCAAGGGAAAAATTATCTGGATCCAAACGACCTTCTTACGGTTCCTCGAGACAGATTTTTTCTCAGGGGAAAAAAAGGGCGGGTTCAGGTCTTGGTGGGTCACAACATGCTTCAGTTCACGGTTTTGGCTCGTGTGCTACCAACAAGACACAGAGTGCCCAAGACACAGAGTGCCCTGTTTTTGGGTCGCCTCCAGAGGGCATGTATATAATCGCACGCCAGTGACTGCAGTTTGTGGATGTCGTCGGCCAAAGGCCTCTCTCTGGCATGCGTTGTGGACTGATCACGCTCGGAGCAACCAGAAAGAAAAAGGCAACATTCAAAATGATCAACATCGCAACACACTTCGGTTCACGTTTACAGGCCGTGTGCAATCAAAACTGGACAATACGCTCTGCTTCTGGGACGCGAGCAGAGCGATTGTGTATGATCACACGCCATTGGCAGTAGGTTGTGGATGTCATCGGCCGAAAGCCTCCCTCTGGCATGCGTTGTGGACTGGTAGCGGGTGACACACGGAGCAAACACGCGGCGGAACAAGAAGAAAGTCCAAAAAGTCAACACCCCAACACACTCGGTTCACGTTCACAGGCCGTGTGCAATCAAAACTGGACAATACGATCCGTTTCTGGGACGCGAGCAGAGGGTATGTATATGACCACACGCCACTGGCTGCAGTTTGTGAATGTCGACAGCGTAAAGCCTCTCTCTGGCGTGCGGTTTGACTGGTCACACATGCTGCAGGCACAAAAACGGCTCTTTTCGGCCCAAAGGCAAGAACGTCAGCAGAGCAATGTGGCAGGGCTGACGTTTTCGGCTCGTGTGCGGCCAACACGACGCAGAACGCCCTGAATTTTAGATACCTCAGAGGGTTTGTGCATGACCTCATGATACTGGCCTCTGTTTGGCCAGCAGACGGTGTATTTCCTCGTTCTGGCACGATCGGGGTGTGACCAGGGGGTGACCCCCCCCATTTCTAACAGCGATATTCCAAAATAGGCCAATTTCCCAACATGCCGGCCGGAATCGCTGTTGGAAACTGCGCTGTTGGATTTTGGGCTGTTGGAAATTGCCCTTTTCCTACCCGTAAGACGCCCAAATTATTTTTTTGGCTCAGAAAAGGACCCCCCCCCCAAATTCAATCCGGACATAATCACGCCGTAAGACCCAGCCTAAGAACAAAAGAACACCCTGGAGATCTATCTACCCTGTTAAGCTCTTGAACACCGCAGTTAGTTGTAAATAGTTTCCTTCCCAGACAATATGCGTACTCGGAGTATGTATCTCATGGCTAATCTTATCTGTGCGAATATCCCAGACTCTTTTATCTGTGGAGGAGATCAATATTAGAAGTGGTATCTGTTGTGCCAACCTGGTATAGGTAAGAAGAGTAACAATGCCACCACCGGAACACCGCCACATGATGAAACGCGTTCACCCGAAATACCCGCAACCATGTTTGTTTGCATGGCGAAGGGAGACCTTGTCTTTTCGTTTTTGCGCATTTTTCGACGCTGTTTTTGCAAACGCGTTGGCTGGCTTGGCTGCCTCCTGCGTAATGGTTAATGGCACTGCTGTCGATCGATGAAGACTGGAGTATGCACAGGTCGAGTTAGCACATCCTGCACAACTAACTACGTAACGATAGATGTGTATGGGGTGGGGTTAGGCTTAGGGGCGGGGAAACGAACCCCACCCTCTATTTCATACTTCTAACTACTTCCTGTATACAGAGGGAAGAGAGTGCTGAACTCTTCTCGCATTAAAAATCGAAGGCGAAGTACCGCAGGAGGAGAGGGTAGAGAGGGGCTCTTCTGTGTGACCACGGGTTGGAGTAAACGGCACAGGTTCTGTGAGCGCTGATTTTGAAGTGAAGACAAAAAAAAAAAAAATCATAGCTTCCTCGCGAAGGCGGTCCGGTTCGAATTATCCCTTCACTCCTGTGGGGCACTCTGAACCTCACGCCTTGCTGGCACCCGAGGCGTGACCCTCTGTCTGCGTACTGTTTTTTCAAATTTCGATGTACGTATATAAGGCAGGAAACACTCGAGCGTCCGACGTTGTCTTTTCCGCTCATCGCACGAAAGATAACGTGAAAACCTGATCGTGTAGACTACTGCTGTGCCTCCTTCTCGCCCCGATCACAGCTGTGGTGATTGTGCAAAGGATCCCCCCTGCATGTACTTGGTGGGTGTTTGTGTTCCCCGGGCGCCAGGCTATCGGTTTTGTTGTGTGTTTGACTCACCCTACCCCAAGGGTCAGCCATTGTGGGATTTTTTTTTCTTTTTTTTTTGTTTCGTCCCATCTCTGGCGCCGCCTGCTTACTCCCCTTCGGTGCACACTACACGTTTGCCGCGTATATGCACTTACACTTCTCAGCGTACTTGATCAAGCTAGACGCACCGTCCGGGGTCACACAGGGTACTTGCTCGAAAGCGTAGCCTTTCTGCATTATTTTCGTTTTCTATGGTTTCTTAACCAGGAGATTTTTGAGCGGGCTCGAGGGGCGTCGTGTTGTTGTTGTTGTTGTTGTTGTTGTTGTTGTTGTTGTTGTTGTTGTTGTTGTTGTTGTTGTTGTTGTTGTTGTTGTTGTTGTCTTCATATTAAAAACCGTTCCGATCTCTCTCTACCCAGTACCTTCGTATGTCCGTACTGATCCAACACTCGACGCGGTCGATTCCCGTGGTCACAGGTTAACTTACCCTGAAAAGGTACACTCAAATAAACTGGCCCCGAGGGGTCCGCAAGTTAACGACAGATATTCGGGAGTCCTCCACTCCCTCTGCGCGCTATGCGAGGTATCAACTGAGACTAGGAGTCACTATCACGGGCCGGAGAGAAAGAGGTACACCCCCTTGGTTCAATCTTGGTGCTTCACACGCAAGCAGAGACAAGGCCATCTGATACAGAAAAAGAGAGAAAAAAAGCGACAAAGAGAACAAAGAGAACAAGAGAAAAAATTAAAAGGAAACAGGAAGAAAAGAGAAAATAAAACGAAAAAGAAAACGACAACGAAAACGAGCGAGGAAAAAAAGAGACCAGGCCGAAAATAGCAAGACATAAGAGACAGAATAAGGCACCCGGTGGAGAGACCACTATCGAACGAACAAGCAAACACGCAAACATGGCCACCAACCAGCGATACATGGTAATGGTACGTCATCACTAGTGGGGGGTTGGTGCAATGGTGCAGCGTTGGGGGGGGGGGGGGGGGGGGGGCCCCAAAACCGGGGGGGCCGAAACCTTTAAACCATTTACCCCCCCCCCCCCAAAAGCGGGGGGGGGGACCCCGGGGTTTTCTCTGGACCGGGGCTCCCAATCCCCAAAGGGGAAAACCCCGGGGGGTTTTGGGGGGCCCCAAAAGGGGGGGGCTGCTCCCGGGTAAGGGGGTTGGGGT